GCAGATCCCCGGGCGCCACCCGGGAGGACGCGAGTGGGACGAGCGAGATGAGGCGGGCGGCGACCCCGCTGGGCTCGGCGAACCCAGCCGGCCAACGGACTCCGTCCGGACCTCCCAGCAGGTGGGGGGGCCGGTCACTCGGTCCCTCTTTTCTCTCCCGAGACGGTCGCGAAAAGGTTCGGGAGCCGGGGGCGTGGCAACCCCCGGTCTCCCCCTCCAAAGTAGCGCACAAGAACGGGCGAGAGGCGGACGGGGCTCGTACAAAAATGGTCGGACGGGGAGGAACCGGGCAAACCCCAAACGATGGCTTCAAGTCAGGCGAGACCACCCGCTGAATTTAAGCATATTACTAAGCGGAGGAAAAGAAAACAACCGTGATTCCTTTGGTAGCGGCGAGCGACCAAGGAAAAGCCCAGGCTTGAAATCCGAGGGCCCCCGGCCCTCCGAATTGTAGTCTGAAAAGGAAGCGTTCTCTGTGACGGGCGCCGCCTTAAGTCCACTGGAAAGTGGCGGCAGAGAGGGTGACACCCCCGTCGGGCGACGACCCGTCACTCCACGAGACGCATCCGAAGAGTCGGGTTGCTTGGGAGTGCAGCCCCAACATGGGTGGTAAGCTCCATCCAAGGCTAAATACGGCCAGGTTTCCGATAGCGAACAAGTACCGCGAGGGAAAGATGAAAAGAACTTTGGAAAGAGAGTAAAAAGTGCTTGAAATCGTCAGGAGGATAAGCGCATGAGCCCAAGCAAACCTGCGGGCCCCGTTCGCGCGGGGCCCGGAGGTACGCAGCGCCGGTCGATGCCGCGGGAAAAGGAGCTCGCTCCCACCGCGGCGGAGACCGAGGATGACCCTCACGGGTCGGCGCTGGCGAAACGGGCTGATGCGACCCGTCTTGAAACACGGACCAAGGAGGCCAACGCGGCTGCGAGCCAATGGGTTGGAAACCACAATGGCGACAGTGAAAGCGACCCGTGAGAAGGCGGCCTCGTGCTGCCCGCACCACGGACCGCCCCGGGGGCCTCGGCGCCCGGGGTGCGTTGAGTAGTCGCGTTGGGACCCGAAAGATGGTGAACTATGCCTGAGCAGGGCGAAGCCAGAGGAAACTCTGGTGGAGGCCCGCAGCGCTACTGACGTGCAAATCGTTCGTCAGACTTGGGTATAGGGGCGAAAGACTAATCGAACCATCTGGTAGCTGGTTCCCTCCGAAGTTTCCCTCAGGATAGCTGGTGCTCGATACGTGGTTACGTCTGGTAAAGCGAATGATTGGCGGGCTCGGGGGAGAAGCTCCCTCGACCGACTCTCAAACTTTAAACGGGCGAGGAGGGCCGCCATCTTAATTGTGGCTGGCTTTCAGGGGTGCTGGCTGACCCCACCAACATGAGTGCCAAGTGGGCCATTTTTGGTAAGCAGAACTGGCGAGGCGGGATGAACCGAAAGCCGGGTTACGGTGCCTAACTACGCGCTAACCTAGATCCCACAAAGGGTGTTGATTGATTAAGACAGCAGGACGGTGGTCATGGAAGTCGAAATCCGCTAAGGAGTGTGTAACAACTCACCTGCCGAATCAATTAGCCCCGAAAATGGATGGCGCTCAAGCGCGTGACCTATACCCGGCCGCACCCGGCTGCTGGTGAGCCGGTGCGAGTAGGAGGGCGCGGTGGGATGCATCGAAGCGTGCGCGTGAGCGCGCGTGGAGCTCCCGATCGCTGCAGATCTTGGTGGTAGTAGCAAATATTCAAATGAGAACTTTGAAGACTGAGGTGGAGAAAGGTTCCATGTGAACAGCAGTTGCACATGGGTTAGTCGATCCTAAGAGATGGGGTAACTCCTTGAGAACGGCGCGGTTCTCCCCGCGCCGCCCATCGAAAGGGAATCGGGTCAAAATTCCCGAACCGGGGACGTGGCAGCTGGCGGCAACGCGAGCGAATCCGGTTACGTCGGCGGGGGCTCCGGGGAAGAGATGTCTTTTCTTTTTCACAGCTCGATGGCCCTGAAATCGGCTTGCACGGAGATAGGGCCTGCGCAGCTGGTAAAGCACCGCACGTCTCGCGGTGTCCGGACCGCCCCCAACGGCCCTTGAAAAGCCGGAGGAGCGAATACTGCTCACGCACGGTCGTACTCATAACCGCATCAGGTCTCCAAGGTGAACAGCCTCTGGTCAATGGATTAATGTGGGTAAGGGAAGTCGGCAAAACGGATCCGTAACCTCGGGAAAAGGATTGGCTCCGAGGGCCGGGCCCGGGGGGCTGCGCCTCGACGCCGCAGGCTGTCGGAGGTCTACCCGACGCCGGTTCACCCCGGTAAGGGCGGGCCCCCGCGTGCCTGCTGGCCGACGGGCGCAGAGCGGTCCCTTCACGGGGACCCTCCCCTGGGCGGAGAGCGGTCGTCTCGGAACTGGCGCGGACAAGGGGAATCCGACTGTTTAATTAAAACAAAGCATTGCGATGGTCCCGACGGATGTTGACGCAATGTGATTTCTGCCCAGTGCTCTGAATGTCAAAG